GCCTTGCTATTCTATTAACAGATGCAAAAGTAAATTCTCCAGTCACCATTCTCATTTTAACATGAGCAGCAAGGTATCAGTGCAGAAGCGAGAGTTCAAAAAGTTAATAGTAAACCCGAATCAAGGATAATTTCGAAAGCACTCCAACAACAAAAGGCAATGGAGAATGAAGATTCTAATGTAGCAGGACATTGTCTGATTAGAAATCCACCGTCATTGTCTGCCACCAAAACAGCCCACAAACTGCTGAGACAGCCTACGACCTCTCCAGTGGGACTGAATTTGTAACAAAAAGCTGGTGGATCAGCATTTCCGGTCTCCTCTCTTTTTAAAATCCCCCACGACAAAAGGGCATGAGGTTAACACATTTTACTGTTAAATATGATCTGAGCCTGTTGGAAGACTGCCCATTCAAAAGTGTCAGCCCGGCAACTCCCCTATGGTTTCTGCTTTCCATAGTTTTCCCTAAACAATCCTCCTCCAGCTGAACTCTGTGCTGTAACCACAGGGTACATGGGGACAGTCCTGAATATTAGTTCAAACTCTAAATACTTTTTAAAAATTTTTTAACTTAATTGAAGTAGAGCCGATTTCCAATGTTGTGTTTGTTTCTGGTGTACAGCATAGTGATTCAGTTATACATGGATATATTCCTTTTCAGATTCTTTTTCATTATAGGCTATTACAAGATATTGAATATAGCTCCCTGTGCTGTACAGTAGGACCTTGTTGTTAATCTATTTTATATATAGTAGTTTGTATCTGCAAATCCTGAATTTCCAATTTATACCCACCCCCAATTTCCCCCAGTAACCATAAGTTTGTTTTTATGTCTGTGAGTCTGTTTCTGTTTTGTAAGTAAGTTCATTTGTGTCATTTTTTAAGATTCCACATATAAGTGATATCATATGGCACTTTTCTTTCTCTGTCTGGCTTATTTCACTTAGTATGACAATCTCCAGGTCCATCCATATTGCTGCTAATGGCATTACTTTATTCTTCTTTACGGCCGAGTAGTATTCCACTGTATACATATACCACAACTTCTTTATCCAGTCATCTGTCAATGGACATTAAGGTTGCTTCCATGTCTTGGCTATTGTATACAGTGCTGCTATGAACATTGGGGTGTGTGTATCTTTTTGAATTAACCAAATTCCCAATATTTTAAAGTGGCACCTCCAAAGCAAACATAAACACTATCTACTGCTTTATTGGCATAATGGTACTTGCAACACTCACTCTGGACTCCGAGCAGAAGGCAGCCATCTAATACTGCTGTCCACAGTAAGACAGTTCAATAGAACACCCTACCAGGCCCTACCATCAAGCAAAGGACAGTGGTAAAAGCTGACTTGCCCTTTCTCAGTTGTCCTACCATCTTGTGGTCACTGTCTGCAGAAGCTTCCACATCTGTCCATCTCTATTCACGGTGTCATCCTGCCCAATGTGGCCAAGCTATGCAGAGGGCAAACACACCTGGCAATGTCTCCCCACAGCTCTCACCCATTACCAAGTCAAGGGTGATCGGCCTGCTTCCCCTATCCATGATATACTGTTTCCACCACTAGTTCTATGACCACAAACTGTCAAGGGTCTCCCCCTGATATTGTGTTTTGGAGACACTATATTAGTGTGTGTCCATCGCACAGAGACTATGAGTGAGGCAGAAAGGCAGGAAAAGAGAGAGCCCAAAACAGACAGACAGACGTATTTCTTGTGTCCTGCACAGAAACAAGCGGAAACTCCTTTTGTTACTGGCAGCCCTCTCCCAGGATGAGTGAATCATGTTGGGTACACTCACCCTGACGAGTTCCAGCCCACTGGCTTCACAGCAATGACTGACCGTTCTGTGAGTTTCAGAGAACAAGTCATTGTCCCTGAGACCACCTACAACTTGCATGCATGTGACGTCATTCTAAGTTACAGCAACTCAGCATTTACATAAATTCATTTTGTATACATGAAATTCATAGGGTACTGCAATGCATTTGACCAAATAACATGTATCTTCTGCTTAAAAGTGTTGATCTGAAAATAAATGATGAGTGTCTTTCTTTTTTAATGTATGACAGTTGTCTTTTATTTAAAAAGGAAAAATAAAACTGAAAAAAAAATAGGATGTTTCAGGAAACTGGGTTGTGTAGCCATTAGGCATGTTCATTGTTAGTGAACATGCCTAATACGTTGTTACTGAAAGTACCTATTATGGGAAAATTGGCTTGAAAATGGATATTGAGATGACAGTCCTTTTTAAACTGGGATTTAAGCACAGGTGCTTTTTTCTAATTGGAGCATAGCTGATTTTCAATGTTGTATTCGTTTCTGGTGTACAGGAGAAGAGAGGTGGTTTTGATTCTCTTCCCATCCTTCCTTTTAGCAGTGGAACCAGTAGAAAGAAATAAAGGACACCAAAAATAAAATCCATGCTAAAAAAAATTTAGGTATGAAAACAAAAAATAATAAAACCTTAATCAGAGCCTAAAGTAGTAGAGCAAAATCTATTTGTTGAATGCAGCGTGATTAACATACGCCATCAGTGTGAACTGATTTACTTACTTCAGTTTCCTATTTTAAGACACATAGATAACTTCACAGTTCAGTAAAGATTTGGAATAAGAGGGGAAAAAAAATGATAAAGTGGAAAGGACAGAGTGGGTCTCAGCAGACCAGGACTGTGCCTCCAGCTGTCAGCACTGAGTCAGGGACTTAATTTTGCTTCAAATTAATTCTCTCGCGTATAAAAATGGAAGTGACAGATTAACTGATCTTTAAAGTTTCTGGAAGGATGGTAGAGAGGTGGACTAGGAAGAATCAAAAAGGGGCGATTTGTCTTTTTTCCAACAGGTCTTCAGGAAAAAAGTCAGTAAGCTAATTAAGGCCACAGTAATCAAATAACATGCACTCAAAATAGTACTGTTGTACGAATTATTTGAATTTAAAATTTTTACCCATGACATTCCCTCAAAGAAGGCTCTAAGTAATGTATTTCAAAAGTCTAGTTCGGGTAGACTTGACGGCGAACAGTGCAGCCTCTGTTATTACAGTCTCCTTAATGATGCTCTGGGCTGGTGCTGGGAGGACCCAGTGGGAGGGACCCTGGCACCCCTCCCCCCCAAGAACCCAAGAAAGGTCCTGCTCAGTCTCCCATAAGCAATGCTCTGATCCTGGGCAGAGCAGTGAAAGCGAGGAATTGACAAGAAACCTTGATTTATACAGAAAAAGAACTATACTTTTGCACCTTGCTTAAATGATTTCTATAACCACTGTGAATGAAAATGGAGCACGGCACTGTCTTGTAACGCTCCTAAATTTTAGAGTTTACATTGTTTCTTAAACATCAGTTGGAATTTCCTTTCATCGAACTAAAAAGGTCACAATATTTGTCATTTGGAAAAATCCTAAGTTATCTGCCAAGAAAACAAAACCAACAAGTACAGATACAAACAAAATGAGAGGGAATGTCAAAACAAAACGGAAACTGAGAATGTGAGTTGTGTTTTAAGTGCTTGAATGAATAATATTAAAGGTTTAAGTACAAAATCAAATTTGTATTTTAAAAAAGATTTTTAGCTATTGCCTGTAAGTCCCAAATCAATGTTGCTAGCCCTGAGCCCTCCCCTGACCTCCATACTTAACATTTCCAACTGCCTGGCGGACATTTCTACCAGATGTCCCAAATACACCTCAAAATCCTCTCCTCCCCAACAATCGGTCCTCTTCCCTCCTAAATTCTCTTGACAGCATCATTATACTTTCAGTCACCCAAGTCAGAAACCTGACAATTCCAAGTCCTAACAGGTCCTTCCAGTGCCCAAACTATCACCACATCTGGAATATTCTAGCTCTTTCAAAATTCTCTCTATTCCTCATTGCTTCCACCCTAATTCTAGCCCCTGTGTCTCTTCCCCAGATCATTACAAAATGAATCTGCCTTCCTTCAACCCCACTCACCTGCAACTCTTTCTCTATACTTTCCCCAGCCAGCTTAAAACCCCTCAGTGCTTACATACACACACACACACACACACACACACACACACACACACACACACACACATATCTATGGTTTAACAATCCCGAGCAACTTCCACACATGGGTTTCATACACCTATACCACTGCCCCTGACTGCAATGCCTTCCTCCAGCTGATCCTGCTGTGTATCAGGCTAACTCCTATTCATCTTTCAAGGGCCATTTCAGGGGTCACCTCCCCCAGGAAGCCCACTTTTACACACACAATCCTCTGGCCATAGGCTGACGTGATGCCTTTTCCATTCCTTAATGATTAACACTCTCAATATACTTTTATCCTATTGGAGTTGGTCATATTTATTACTGTGTCTATCTCCTGCATTTGACAGATATTCCTTGAAGGGAAGGACTTATCACCTTTGTTTCTTGAGATCCTAGCCAAGTTTACTGATTCGAAATAAAAAATGAATCAAGTGATGGAAGAAAACAGATTGGAGTGTATGAGAGCATTTTGGAGGGTTACAAACGTTCGGAAATAGCCACTGTTTTTCTTACTTATGCAAATAGTACTTTGTGACTTACAAAGTGCTTTCACATAGGTTCTATTGTTTGATTCTTGAACAATCCTAGAAGGCAGGGTAATGCAGATATGAAGGCTGACAGAGACCCTAAATCCGTAAGAAATGTCTCTGAGAAGAGAAGTGTTACTGATTTTTTCTTTTAAGGGAGGGTGTGTGTGGCTGGGTGTGTGTGTTCAAATAAGTCTTCAGCTATCCGAGCTACACTTCAAATAAATTCCTGTTTGGTCAAAACAGCCAACTGATTTCCTTCATAACTACTAAAAAAAAAAATCTCCTGAAAAAGAAAAACTCTCAAGTCTCCTGAAAAAGAAAACCCCTCAATTCTTTGCAGAGAATTTTCAATAACCTATTCCCCTATTCACCCTCTTCCAAGAAGCCAATCTTGAAAGACAGAACAGCTCATTTAGATTTCCAAAGACAAAGAGAAAACGGTTTCACTCTCACCTTCAGAAGATCCGCTGGTCGACGAGTCTCCTGAAAGCTTCCCTGATTTTGGAATCCGTCCTGTTCTCACGATGCCAGCTACTTAGAGCAGCTTTGGTCAAAGTTTTCAACAAACAGGAGTGAAATACCACGAAGAAAGAATATCACAAAGCTTTCTGAAAGGAAAAAAAAAATCACACACAGAACAGTGTAAATTGTTTGGGGCTAGTTAATTCTATTCAGCTGAGATTTCACTCAACTCTCCTACGAAAATTGACTAAGGGAACTTAATATGTACTAAACCCCATGATAATACTTAAGGACATCAATGTCTGAGAAACTTTAAGCAATGTAATGGCAACAGGTAATGAAAAAAGGTAACACAATTCCAATTACATTTTGGTACAGACAGACGTCTGAATGGCCCCTAACTAGCAGGAAACAACTGTCCACACAAATCAAAGAGAGGGAAAAGGCACTTGATTTTATTCTATTCCAAAGCTTCATGGGAATACACGGTACTTTTCAATCACAGCAACACACAGGCTGCAGCTGGAAAAAATCTAATGCAGATGGAAAAGAACAAACACTGAAGAACCCAGTATTTGATCAAGGCTGGCGATGCCAGCGAGGAACGCAGCAAGGCAATTACATTTTAGAGGTGGCTTTGAAGGCAGTGAGAAAAGGATCCGGGAATGAAGTGTCAGGACATACCACTGTAAGAAAGCAAGCATAAGGTTAAGGTGGAACAGCCCAGAATGAAACCTTAATTAAACGGAAGCCAACCAGCAGAAGTGTTTGAACAGTGTGTTTATTTAATACCTCACTTTAATGAGAAAGGGTAAAAAAATAATCACAGGGAAAAAAATGTTCAGAAAACCTCTTTTAAACCAGAACTTGGGGTCACTGGAGAGTGAGCAGAGCCGAAGCCGGGAGTCTGGACCTGCCTTTCCGACTCAGCGTCTGCCCTCGGGCTTGCTCACTGCTTCTCAGGCTCGCCGGCACATGTGTGCCACTGGGGGGGCCTCTACAAAATATCAGCTGCTTGGCCCCGTGCAGCCAAATAAACCCCTGACCAGTTAAGTAAGAAGATGAGGTGGGATGGCACCCAAGCACGGGCAGTTTTTTTCGAAGGAGAGAAAGTCACAGGAGACATTGTTCAGCGACTTCACTCAGCGCTAAAATTCTCTCTTCTCTGCACCTGATAACTCGAGTTTGTTTTCAAACAAATACAGTTTAAATTAGTAGTATCCAAAATTTTAAAACCCTATACAATTAAATAGTTACTCAATTTTCTTTTTTTAGACGTTTATTTTTCTTATCCTTTTTTTAATATATAAATTTTCTTTTTAAAGCCCAGTATTTTATCCTGTTTTTTGGGGGGGAGGGAGGTAACTAGGTTAATTAATTAATTAATTTATTATTATTATAGTGGAGATAGTGGGGACTGAACCCAGGGCCTCGTGCATGCTAAGCATGTGCTCTACCACTGAGTCCTCCCCAACCCCCCCAATAGTTTCCCACTTTTAAAGAGGAGGGACTAAGGTTCTGAGAGGTTCAGTGACTTATGTGAGGCCCAAGCAAAGTGGCAATGCCAGGATGGAATCAAGCCTTCTGCGGAGGTGAAAGCCGCTCACGAGCTGGGGCTGGACACAACCCTGCTTCAGGCTGGGCTGGACGTGAAAGGAAGACAGAGTCACACCGTAGATTAGGGCTCGGTGCTACTGACATTCTGGGCAGTGGAGAGCATAACCTCAGGGTTGCCACCCCTTAAGGAACAGTGCAGATAAAAATAACCCTAGCAGCTAAATTGTTGAGCACTCCATGTGAGCGAGACATTGTGCTTAGAAGAGCTTTAATCTTCACAAGAGCTCTCCGACCTGAGGTCTGTTGTCTCCAGTTTATAAATGAGGTGACTGAGGCCGAGAGCGCTTCGTCTTGTCTACAAAATGGGAGAAGGGGAATTCTAATGCGGCTCGTCCCTCTCCTAGCCATGGATTGCCTCGAGGGAACGCAGTGATCAGGCAGCTGGGGACAAGGCTACTCCGCCCTCTATCTGCCTTGTCTTTTTTGGTCACAGTGCATCGTCACGTTGAAGCCTCCTGGGGTCTTCCTGGTGCTTCCAAATATTCTTCGATGAAATGACTGATTTCTGTTGTCTGGGAAAGGATTTACATTTTATGGAATGATCTGCATTCTCCCCCGCCACA